CCTGAGACACCACTGGGAGAATATCCCCTTCAGGTTATCCCCTTACCGTCCTCCTGTGGCCCCCATTGCCTTAGCACCCCCTACGGCCCCCCCCCTTGCCTCTTAGAGCCTCCCTAAGTCATTCCACCGCCTCCCAGGGGGCGGTACCACCCACTTTGGGAACCACTGGCTTAAATGATGGGTGAACTGCTCACAGTGTCCAGACACTGACAAAATGCCTATTCAGGTAGTTCTTTGCTTGCGAGCATAACTGAGACCAGAATCTTGGTTGTTGAGTGAAGTGATCATTAAATGATACACCACATAACTGTTTTGCTTAATAACTACAATCCCAATACTCCTGGTTGTGGTTGTTAAGTGATCTTGTGAGTTGTTCAATGGACGGAGTCTGAGGTGAGGCGTGTAGGAGTGCCTCAGGAGGGTGGAGCAGGTCAGGTAGGGACCTGGGGCAGGTTATAGGACCCACCAGCACATGAAGCTTGAGCCTGATTCCTGCCTCAACATTTCCAGGCCCAAGCCCCCACTCCAGCAATTATACCACTATTCATCAACAGGTGTGACTAATGCTATTACAGTGCTATAACCAAGTCTAAAATCTGGCTGAAAAGTAGATAATCCAGATAATCAGCATGGAGACTTCAATCACCATCATTCCAAGCATCTAAGGCCCTGGTGGAACCTTGTATCAGAGCTCCAAGACAAGACCACGTTCCCTCTGAAACCCAATAAGAATCCATCAATTGCTGGGTTAGTTTATTCAGCTAGGTCCTATCTTCCTGCAGTAGAGCAGTCACCGATTACTCCAAGACAAATAGGGAGTGATGTGTCCATGTCATGGCATTAAAAGTGACACCCCCTATTCCAAATTATGTCACCATAGACCTGAATTAAAAAACAGATCTAATACATAATCCCCACTGTGAGGTAGGCTAGAGATAATCTTGGCTGCCATGATAACCCTATATTCCTGATTCATTTCTAAGTCCGTATCCATGGATAGAAGGCTGATCTTCATGAGTACCATAAGCCTGGGAAACTCCACTAATAACCCGTTTGCAGATTCTAATAGATAAGCAGATTACTATGTGCCTGTAGGGATGATATATTAGCCTCCTTATCAGACCAATTTCACCAACAGAGTCCTGGTGCCAATCATTTCTGTGGTAAGGGTTTTTTTAAATACTAATATTTACACAATCCATGAAATGTCTTAGTAAGGGAATGCTTGTAAGGAATGGGAATGGCTTTAGGGTACTGCATGAGGTAAAATCAACTTGGTAAGCAAAAGCTGTCATAACAATTATCCTGCTGAAGCACTTTAAATCCAAATTTATCTAATCCACTATATATGTGCAAACCCTTACATTTTGATTCCCAGCTCTAGAGAAAACCTTTTAAATTGTCATTTACCAAGTCCTGATAACCATCTGTTAGAAATTCATGCTTTGTCTGGTCTTCTCCTTCCAACTGTTGGTAAAAAACAGCAAATTTTTCTATCATTGTGTCATATACAACACGTGGCCTTTCCCAAGTTACAAGGAGACTGGTATAGTTCTTTGGATCAGCTTGAACATTTTCTGGTTCTAAGCTGCAAACTTAAAAAAAAGAAAAGGTGATTTACAAGTTATAGCAACTAAAGGTATGTATTATAAAACAACAACTACAAGATAGACTTACAGAGAGAAAATTCACATTTATGGCTTTCACCAATTAAAATAAATCTACTTTTTAATTAAGTAATATATAGTCCTCCTCCCCAAAAGACTTGAGTACCCTACTCCATAATTCTCACTAGAGCTATTACTCTAGCCTCATTTTTAGTTTTCATACTGTAATATATGTCTTTATATATTATGAGTTATTATATAAACATTTTAGAAGCACGTGTTAACTTCTTAAATTTATGTCTTTTAAAAATGGGAATTGAATAAATACAATGATGAAATAAATAAAACATGTACTATTTCTGTGATATATTTGCAAGAATGAGAATGATGAAAATAACCAAGGAATTGAAATGAATAACATCTCTGTTTCAAATATATACAACCCTCCTCGAACTTTTTTTAAGCTTGGAGATTTAATCTGGAAATCTCTTCTCATTTTAAGATGGAAGAACTTGAATGACGTATCACCTCANTTTTTTTTAAAAATCATGTTACAAATATTTTTTTAAAGTTTTAATGGAATTACTGAATAATTTCTGTACTCTGGTTTCCAGCACAATTATTTCTGACATGTAGTATGGTATATAGCAGAAATATTATAAAGTACTGATATTACATGATCGAAGGAGCATAAATAATTATCTAAAAAACTCTGATAGAATCAATCTATTCTAGGATACAAATGTTTAGGGAAGATTAAAAAAACTAATCTTTAATTTAATATTGGAACTTCTATGATCAAGGACCAAGTTATATGTGACTGTAGAAAATGCAATCTAGGTAACTATTTTTTGATTCATATAGTACCAGAGTTGTATTTGTGTGTCTTAAATTTAGAACTGGTTATACTATACTTTGGAATATACTCGTCCCATATTTTATTCATGATATTACCATCTCTGAATTATTTTCTGTTTTAATATTTCCTGTTTTAGTATTTTGATGAATATTTAAAGTTGGGATCAAATATTTTAAGTAAATAATATATTTAAAATTGATAATGTGTAGTACAAATAATATCCTCACCATCTTCCAAAATATTAAATTTGTGATTAAGTTTTTCCAAACAAAAAATGTCAAATTCCCAGTCATGAATTCCCCACATTATATCTTAATCTGTTTATTAAGGAAGCATGAAAATAAATGCACCCTTGTGACTTTCTTAAACTTGAATCTATTGAACATGTCCATCTGTACAGCCCATTCCATAGGAATGTTAGAATTAGTCTAAGAAGTTATTCTGGCATTTTCATTTATTACAAGGTTGTGTTATTACTGATTGTAATCTTTTAATAACTTATAAGGTTGGGTGTGGTATAACAGCATAAAATAGACTTTGGGAACTGACTGCTAGTAAACCAAGACAAATATCATCTTAATAAATCTGCAATTTTTCGTTATCAATAATTATTTATCTTTTAGTTTTTTATTATTGTATTATATCATAAACCTCATTCTAAAGCAGGGCAGAATTTAAATATATTTAAATAAACTCAATATTTTTTATCTTAGGCTACTCAACAACCATATCAAGTTTTTTTTATCTGATCTGAGGAAAAAATAAATCTATGTAGGCATGCTATTTTTTGCAAATCACAAGCTAAAAGGGAAGAAGTTTGACAAAGTTAAAACCATTGATTTGCTGGTAAATGTTTAAAATTCAACTTTGGCAACTCTGTTGCTATCGTTGTACTGCTAACCCAAAAGTTGATTGGCAATCCAGTCATTTGGGCTCAACCAATTCCCAAAATTTCAGGGAATTTAACAATTACCTCTTGCAAGCCTGTGTGATCTAGCCCAAGCCTGTGTAATCTGTACTCCATAACTAATAATTTAAGAATAATTGGAATATTGGGCATAATTGGAAGTTCCATTAAAAAAATGCACCATGCTTTTCTGGTGTAGAACATTCACCAGAGGTCTTTAAACAGTGTACATAAATACATAAGTGTACAAAAAAAAACACATTTAGGAAAAAATAGCATGGAATGCAACAGTTTTTTTT